ATTGGATATTTATTTCAAATACTAATCTCTTTGAGTTTTTTTTGTTTGTTTGTTTTGTTTGTTTTTGTTTTAATCAGTGTCTTTGATTTTCAACAGTTTTGGTTCCTCACTGGGCAATACAATGAGAGACTTTCTAAGGCATTAAGGTGAATCACTTCACCTCCTTCCTGAACTCTGGATCCCAATAGGGACAATGGGGCAGCCCTCTGAAAATACATTTTAAAATGAATATCTGGCATATCTGGGAAAAAATAAATGTTGTACCCAGTTGAAAAACAAAGAAGCCCTCATGCTATCCTCAGCTCTCTGTCATCTTAATTTTGTTTTATTTCCAAGGGTCTAATCTCTAATAGCTTTATTCCTATTTTTTATTTGAAACCAAACCACTCTCCTTGGTATAATTGATTGAGATTAATAATTCTTAATCCCTATAAAACCATTTGTAGATCATAGCTCCTGCGCCTTGACTTTTTCTCGTGTCAACGACAAGGACACTGGATTTGAAAGGAACACTGCTTTGAATTCAGACCGCCTTTAGCCTTCCAGATTTCATTATGAGATATGGCATCACGTATGGAGGATCCTGGTTTAGTCTTGGACACCAGCCTTTCAAAAAAACTACAGAAATGACACAAAGCTAGCGGATTTATGAAGTTCTCCTTTAGAATACACAAAACATATACCATAGCTTTTTTCTGAGATGTGATTACCTTTTTTCCTAAGTACCAATAACTTATTTCCTGAGTCCCTGGGGTTGTCCTAAATTGTACACCATATGTTAGGGGTCACCTAGGTTTCTTTTCCTACCTCCTTTATTTCTGTCTGCACTACGTGGACATCACTTATCATAGTGACTGCGGACACACTTCTGTTGACACTTCCTGATTAGCTATATATTCAGAGAGAGCTCAATGCCCCAAAAAGGAGAGGATAACTAAGCGTCAACAGCAGGGCATTTCAGATTTAGCTGACTAATCATATTCCATAGAGATTGAACATGATAGGAATAGCGTTGGGTCAAATAGGGTCAAAGTCAGCTAGGTCTATTCAGCATACTGTTTTGCACACATTATGAATCTTTTTGATACCACTTTCTGACTAACTCCACACGCCTTCATATGCATAAAATTTCAAAATACAAATTAAAGAATCAAAATGTATACATTGTAAACCGTATTTGACTACAGCAGGCAAAGAGTGAGCTTAGACCCAAACTCCCAACCCTAATGCATCCTGTCAAATTTAACTAGTTTTTTAGGAATTTGCACTAGTAATCATAGCCAAAATAATCACACAAGTGTTTAATTTGCATAAATATATTGTCTTTAAAGATGGAACCAGTCTCACACAGAGCCTGGTTCTGCTGTCAAAGGAAGGTTTCCTCTCCGGTGTGGAGAGTGTACATGCTCATCCAGTAGGGATGAATCCTGCAAGGTCAATAACTTGATGCAATCTGAATGATTTAATTTAATTGATCTCTAAAATGCATTGAGATGACATGTTTAGTGAGATGGGCGATATATATGAAAATGAATTGAACTTAAAGTGTCAAACTAATGTTTTACCAGTAGTTGCAAGTAGTCTAAAATTCTTAGTACCGTTGAGAGTTTCTGGGTAATTTTGTTTCTTTTTCTCTACTTTTTCCAGTCTCCATAAATAAATAATTGTGAATAATTGTGCCCTTTTGAGTATTATGGCTAATTTACTGCTAACAACTAAAGGAGCACATATGCCTATAAAACAGTAAAAATGTGGTAAACATTTTGGATGAGTAATGATTCTGTTAATTCCAAGTTCTGAACATGGTATGAAAAAATCTCACTTTCTAAAAACACAATCTATATTTACCACATTTCATATTTAAACCAGTGTTAAAGCCTTTTAAGCAGCTGCAATCTGCATGTAGGTAAAGGGGCATATTGGTTGTTGCCAACTGCACTCAACGTGTTCCTGACACCCTATTGCTTTGCAGCCCATGGTATTCTCAAGCCTCCCAAACCCAGATCCTTCTTGTAAACCTGCTCAATGAATGCACCAGTTAACTGTCCAGGCTGTACTACTGTTGTAGCTTATACAGAGCATTTGGAAAATAATCACAGGATTTACTTTTTCCACATAATGTGAATAAAAAAAACCATGGTCTCTCTGTCAGACCTTCTATGTTCCTTTGTGGAGAAAAAAAAAAAAATCTTCCAGAAGAAATATCATCTCGGCAGCGATTCAACTGTATGATAGCCTGAATGAGCTTAAGATGTTTTACGAAAAAAATAACCAAAATACCTAGAAATAGATGTGGTAAGCTAGTGGCATCGTTTTCAAAAATACAAAACGCGTTAAATACTGCCAAAGGTTGATAAAATAATTATTAACTACTTGCCATAAGGGTGTAGAAATTGAGCAAAGCTGTTATTATGCAATTTGAGTAAGGATAAAATCTAACTAAATGTGGAAAAAAAAGCAGGTTATATTGCAATTTTTAAAGATCTGAACATGTACGTGATTATTTAGTTATAGTGACACATTTTAAACACTGTCTGCTGTTTTTTCATCATAATAATCGACGAATGAGAACACAAAGAAAATGATAAAACAATAAGGAAAACTGATGGAAATGCTTCCAAATATCAAAACAACAGCATTTTTGAAAGCATGCATGGGCAGTTCAATGAGCACAGGGGAAACCTTTTGCTTCTTTTTTTTAATCTTCAATCCAGAAAACAGGCTTCCCATTGATTAATTGAGGAGTGAACTTTCTCATTGTTGACATCTCCTGTTGATAAAGTTTTAGAAACAGGTGATCAGAAAAAAGAGGATTTTATAATATGTTCCTATAGTAGTTTAATTTTAAAGAAGCATCTTACCATTTTTTAAAAGCAAAAATTATGAATGTTGACACAATCATGAGGAAAACAATCATAATACGAATCAAATTCATAAACGAATAATCTCCTGCAAGAGATTTAAGAGAGATATAATTTTAAGAGTATTAGTTTACAAAGAAATACTTACATTTTTACAGATTATAGAAAATATTTTCATTATTTAATTAGCAATCTTAAAGAACAAAACTATTTTATTATTATAGCTCAAATCTGAAAAACCCTGACCTTTTCTGAGTTCTGGTACCAAAATTTCCTCCTGATCCCAGAACTGGTGCTGGATAATACATGTCAGGTTCTCTCTATCCATGTTCTCAGGGAGTTCCAGCTGACTTTCCACCGTTACAAATCCATCTGGGTCTTGTTTCTTTGTCACTGAATAATTTCCTGCAGGACTCCAGCTGATGTTGGCAGCAGGATTCCCGCTCTCAGCTCTGCAAACAGCCACCATCTTGTTACCCCTATACTCTAACCAGGCAGACACACGAGGAGGAGCTGTACCGGAAAAGCAAAGAATGGACAGATATGGTATCTCCACAATATATAAAAAGGTTAAGCACATCACTGAAAATACAAATTTATATATTTTTCAATATTTCAGGAGATAAAGAAGTAAATGAATGAATTAATAAAATATCCAGAGTGATAGCACCACTGTGTATAAACATATTCAGCTTATTTAAGGCTGAATATGTTTATACATATAACATATTGCTATAACATTAAATTGTACTGTGCCCCCATTAAATGCCAACCGTGTAGCACTGTAGGGTAAAATACAGACTTATAGACAATCAATTTTATACATTTTACTTAAATTATCATTTTTATAATTTTAGTAATAAGAATTCCTAGATTCAAAACAAGCTTTTAAGTTATGATATAAAGTTCCTACCTCTGACAGCCACTTTAATATTATAATATTGATTTCCTCCAAGGTAAATTGTTTCGCACTTGTAAACCCCAACATCATTGGCTGAAAAGTTTGGGATATTCAAGTATGATTGACCAATTGAATTGGTTTTGAGAGACTTTCCATCATTGCAGTCATCAACACTTTGGCCATCATTACTAAATGAAATCCTGCAGGCTTTGCGTTTCAGTTCAATTTTCCAGATAACATATAGTGTCTCGTTCCATGTCTTATTGCTGCAGGTTAGAATCACGTTACTGCCATGATTGTAGACTTCCTTCCTGTCAACTATTTAAAAAACAGAGAAAAATGCAAATCAATTTAGATTATGGTGGTAGTCTGATGTTTATTTGTTGATCATTGCAGAAAGGGATCATGGGTACAATTATGTGAATATGCAAGATTTAAACCGCAGGAAATAAATAGGGAAATGAAGTAGAGAAGTAAAAAGAATTTGATCAAAACATATAAAGGTTTTGGTTTAAGTTAGTTTTCAATAGGCGGTCTTAACATGTTTAACAGGATTTAGAAGAGCAGAGAAAATTATAAAGAAATCAATTTACCATAATACTTTACAGCTGGAGTAGCTGTATTTGAGATTATAGTGGTGTTAGTTCCTGAGAGAAATGAAGGTGGATGTTAGGATGACTTAGGTACAACAGAGGGTTTTTTTAAGGTTACTATTAGTTGTTCATTTTGATGTCAATATATGCACAGAAAAAGGGGGGTAAGTTATCAGATAACAGTGTCAATTTGCAAAGATAAGGTAGCAGATGTGAATGGTGTTAGAAAAGCTGTTCAGTGTAAGTATGGCTAAAATAACTATTTTAGAGAACCTCCATTTTCCTTAGCTTTCCTTAAAGTAACCAGAAGACATTATTATCAAAACCTTTTGTGGTTAAAGCTGATGTCTGCAGTTTAGAAAAAAAAATCATAGCTATTGCTTAAAACTTAATCAAAGAAAAAGTAAAAGAAAAGTCTAGGGTTTAAAAAAAATATCTGCTTCCTAGTCAAACACACTAATGTTTGTTCACGTCTGACAGCAAAACAGAGACTGTGCAGTGGGTTAGTAAAACCGCAACGTGGAGACCCCTGAGGTGGATAGAAAAAGATTGATCCATGGGCGTAGGTTTGCATAGGGACCATAGGGACATGTCCCTACCAAAATTTTGAACCGACCTAATTGTCCCTACCAATAGTTGGATGTGAGCAACGTGTTTATAATTTACAGCAGTAGTTGTTGCAGCAGTGGCTTCTTTTCCTCACGCAGCTCCTCTGCCTGGGTTGCCCTTTTACGTAGCAGCACATAGAACTGTGCTGCTCTGTTTAACTCCACTCTCATTGGTTGTTCTGCCTTAAGTTCCGCCTTCTCTCTTTCTGATTGGCTGTTTTTTAATCCGTGTGTGTGCTTGGAGCACAAAATTGAACATTTATTCACACTAGAATGCCGCCGTTACTACAATTAATATTAAGCTACAAAACTAGTCCCAATTAAAAAAATTAATATCATGTACACTAAAAAACAAAAACCTTTTTTTTTCTTTTATAAAACGAAATTTTCTGAGTCAGCCAGAACTTCTGAAGACTACTGGAAAAATGGGCAAATAAAGGCTGTAAGCCATCAACATTTCTGATTCTTAGCCACAGCCACCTAAAAAAGAAAATGTGAGTGTTTCCTTTTTACCGATATTTAGTTGATATCCCTGTTTTCATTTTTTGATGACTCTTTGAAGCAGTTCAGGTATAATTATTAGCAGGTGTTATTTCTCTTATAGAGGATAACAACAAGAAATGGCATCTAAACATCTGCTTTGTTTTTGTTTAAAAAGCATAATTAGGGTTCC